CACCATCACCATCAACATCATCATCATCATCATCATCATCATCAGCATCATCATCATCATCATCATCCTCATCATCATCATCATCGTCATCATCATCATCATCATCATCATCATCATCATCATCCTGCCCCTCATCCTCCGCCTCCTCTTCCTCCCCCTCCTCCCAGGGAGGACACCGCCCTCGCACATCGGGCCCAGGGCCTCCCCTGGGCGGCGCCCGAGAGCCGTGCCGGAAGCTGCGCCCTGGCTCAGCCGCCGGCGCGCATGGCGCTGCTGCTGCGCTGCGCTGCACGTGGCGCCCCGCGCACAGAGCGCAAAGGGGGTTGGACATGATCAGGGGAAGAGAAGTAGGGCACCTATCTTCGCTTCGCGCTTCGCGCGTCGCGCCCCGCGAAGCGCGATGATCTTCGCGCGTCCGCGCCAACCCTCGCACAGGATAAGGGACTCGCGCCTCGCTCTGAGAAGGCCCAGAACACGAAGCGCGAAGCGCGATTAACTTCGCACCCCCGTGGCGGCCCCATGAGAAAGTACCGATACCGATACCCTTCCCTCGTTTCCTCCTGGGAGGCCCCCATCGCTGGATTCGCCTCGGAATTCTGGTCAGAACGCACCTGTGGAACGGTCCGGGGAGTAGCGGCGTCGGTACCTGTTAGTTCCCTAACATGAGGCGGCAGGAGGAGGGCAACGAGGAGGAGGAGGACGATCGAGGGTACTTAGAACGCATGCCAGCGCCGACGTGCGCTCGTCTACTCGGACCCTTCGGTACAGAACTGGCGGTGCCAAGAGGCTGGCACAGGCGGCGCGCTGTCGGTGGAGGCAAGCGGGGGCAAGCGTCCTCAGGATTAGTCGAGACGAGGACGGGTGGGAGGGGAGGGGAGGACAGCAGGAGAGAAACGGCAGAAGCAGAACCTGCCAGAGGCCCGCGCGTGTGGGCGCTGGGCCCCTCGGGGCGGCGCCTCGCCGGGGCGGGGGTGCCCGGAGCCGACCCGGCAGATCCACGCAGGCCTCCGAAAGTTTATACGCGTGTGTGCTGTGTTTTCCTTCTTCGGTCGGGCGTTGCGTGATGGGGAGGGGGGCGATAAGTCCTCGCCCTTCGCGTCGTCGTCGTCGACGTCGTGCCTCATCCTCGTACTCGTCCTCGTCGTCGTCGTCGTCCTCGTCCTCGTCCTCGTCGTCGTCGTCGCCATCGTTGTCTTCGTCGTCAACGTCGTCGCCGTCGCCGTCGTCGTTGCCGTCGCCGTCGCCGTCGCCGTCGCCGTCGCCGTCGCCGTCGCCGTCGCCGTCGTCGTCGTCGTCGTCGTCATCGTCGTTCTCGTCGTCCTGGTCCTCATCGTCCTCATCGTCGCCGCCGCCATCGTCGGGCCCCTTTTGGGCCCCAGGGGGTCCCTTTGGGGGCCCTAATGTGTGCAAAAAGTCAACCTTTTTGTTCCCCCCCTTTTGGATCGCCCTCAATGAACTGCAGACGATGGCGGCGGCGACAGCGAGGACGACGAGAACGACGACAACGGGAATGACGACTACGACAACGACGACGACGACGAGGACGAGGACGAGGACGAGGACGGGGACGAGGACGGGGATGAGGCACGACGACGACGCCGCCGACGACGACGACGACGGCGGCGACGACGACGGCGTCGGAGTACGCGACGGCGACGCGACTACAACGACGTACGATAACCCCATCGACGGACTCCGACGAGGACGAGAACGACGACCAGAACCCACCACCGACGGAACGACGAAACGACGACGACGACGACGACGACGACGACGACGACGACGACGACGACGACGACGACGACGACGACGACGACGACGACGACGACGACGACGACGACGACGACGACGACGACGACGACGACGACGGCGACGGCGACGGCGACGGCGGCGGCGACGGCGACGGCGACGGCGACGACGACGGCGACGGCGACGACGACGACGACGAGAACAACGACGACGCCGACGACGACGCCGACGACGACGACGACGAGAGCGACGACGAGGACGACGACGACGGCGACGACGACGACGACGACGACGGCGACGACGACGACGACAACGACGACGACGACGCCGACGACGACGGTGGCGACGACGACGACGACGACGACGACGACGACGACGACGACGACGACGACGACGACGACGAGGAAGAGGCACGACGACGACGACGACGACGACGACGACGACGACGACGACGACGACGACAACGACCACCACGACGACGACGAGAAGGGCGAGGACATACCGCCCTCCCCTTACGCAACGCCCGGTTCGAGATAAGCGGGGCGGGGCTGGGAGAGGCGGCGGGCGGCGAGAAAGCTCCGCGCACAGGTGGGGGGCTCGGCCGCTCTGCTGTGGGCCCCTCAGGCGGAGGCCCTCGCGGTGAGGCTGTGGTTCGCCTTGGACTCCCGGGCCTCGGGGGCGTTCCTCGAGAAGGGAAAACGGCACAAGCAGAGCCTGCCGGAGGTCCGCGCGGGCGTCGTGGACCTGCACTGAACTCCCCCTCCCCGGGGCACGGAGCGCGCCAGGGGCGGCGCCAGAGGCGCCGCCAAGGGGGTTCCAGTGCGGATCCCAGAAAGCCGCGCGGAGCTCCGCAAGTGTACTCCAGATTTCGTAATAAAAGGGAGGGGGTCTGGACCCTCCAAGACGAGCCATTTCAGACCCCCCCCCGTGGGAGAACCCTCCAAAACATCGTCCCCAGACCCCCCCCAGGCCCTCCAAGATAGCCTGGAAGAGACCCCCCCCGAAATGAGACCCCCCTCCTTTTATTACGAAATCTGGAGTGTGTTCATGATGTTTCGTCTTCTTCGAGCTCCACTGCACCAGTATGGCCGTCATGTCGTCGCAGTAGTCGCCGCAGCAGTAGGCCCAGCGCTTCCGGCTGGCCGCGACCAGGCTGCCCAGCGTCTCCCGGGGCCCCTTCAGCCGGACCTTCTTGGCCGTCAGCCCGAGGACCTCCTCGCTCTCCTGGGGGACACCATGGGGGGACCAGCTAAGGCGGGATGACGATTAATAACAAAGATGGGAGAGAACGATTCAAAACATAGCTTTCTGTCATGTCTGCACCATTTTCTGACTGGAGGAGAACGATCTTAAAAATAGTTTCCAGCCCGCGGCCGGTTTTTTCTAATCGTCATCCCGGGCGCCGCCGCGTGAACACGACCCCCAGTCATTTATTAATCGTCATCCTCCATTAAGGGGGGAAACATCGACCTGGAATCGGCGATGCATCGACGATGGATCGGCGATAGGCCCCGACAGCGAATCCGCACGTTCCTGGGCAAGGTGGGCTATATCGGGCCCCTGTCGGCAAAGAGTGGACGATCTGAGGTCGATGACTTCCCCCCCTGAGCCTTTCCTCCCCTGGCGTTGCCCCCTGGTTGTCCGACAACCGGGGAGCAACGCCAGGGGGGAAGTATGACCCGACAGCCGTTGACGGGTCATACTTCGCCTCTCTGGCGGCCGTGCGGGACGAGCTGGGCACCCCGGAAACGCTCTTTGCAGGCTGGAAAACCGCCGAGACCGTGGGAAAAAACACACTCTGTGGGAAAAACACACAGTGGGAAAAAAACACACAGCACGTCCCACACAGTGTGTGTGTGTGTTTTTTCCCACACAGTGTGTGTGTTTTCCCCACAGGTGTGTTTTTTCCCACAGAGTACGAAAACGTCCGAAAATCGATCCCCCCCCCTAGCGTTGCCCCTGGCGTCCAGGAACTCCCAGATGCCGTCGCTAGCGAGCAGGGCGTACCACTGGTCCGTCGGCTGCAGCAGCAGCTGGTGGTACTCCGGCTCTTGCAGCACGCCGGCGCAGGCAGAGTCGCCGAAGCTAGAAGAAGAAAAAGCAGCACAAACATAATTTCTTGGCGTTCCGCGCGAATTCCTTGACTCTGCGCTGGACCCCCCTCCCTGGCGCGCGGAGCGTGCCAGGGGCGGCGCCGGAGGCGCCGCCAGGGGGGCCCCAGCGCGGATCCAAGGAATCCGCGCGGAGCGCCGAAAGTTTATGCTTGTGCCGTGGTTCCTTCTCCGAGAAGCTGCGGGACATGCTGAGCCCGGGGAAGTTGGACCCTGGAGCGGGGCAGCGCCGAGGGCGGGGGTCGCCGCCAGGGGGGGGCCGCCGCCGCTTCCTCGAGGAGGCGCCGTGTGCCCCTCGAGGAAGTGGGCCCCCGAGAGAGCACTCCCAGAGAGCCTTCCAGAACGACCCCACACGCTCCAAAGCGTCCTCCGTCCCAGACCTCGGACCTCGAGCACGTACCCCACACCGAGGGGGGCCTGCGGGGAAAAGGGGATGGCTGACCGAGGGACAAAGCCGCGGATGACACCATGAATCTTGCAACGTGAATAAAGGAAGATGGCCGCCCAGAGCTGTGCGTTCCTGTCTGCTGCAATGGCAGCATCGTCAGCCCTGAGAGCCTGAACCCACACAGCAGAGCTCTACTTCTAATGGACCAGTCGCGGAAGGAACTCCACTTCTACTTCCTCCTCCCTCCACTCCCTCACCTCCCTTTCGTCATCCTCCTCCTCCTCCTCCTCCTCCTCCTCCTCCTCCTCCTCCTCCTCCTGCTGCTCCTCCTCCTCCTCCTCCTCCTCCTCCTCCTCCTCCTCCTCCTCCCCATCCTCCTCCTCCTCGTGCTTCGATCCTGAAGCCTTGATTTCCAGAAGGAGTCGGTGACCCCCCCTGGTGGTTACCCCCCGCAGCACTGCCCGGCCTCGCTTGTACACGCGGTGGGTGCCGGGGTCGACCTCGCGCACCTCGCTGCCCGCCGCCTGCAGGCGGGCCTTCTCCTCTGGCAGGTCGGGCGTGTGGTCCTCGGCGAAGGGGGGAGGTGAGAACGGGCAGCGTCAGTCCAGAGATCTGTCCTGCGCCACGTGGCCGACACCCAGACCGCGCGGTCGTGCAGAGCGGGGGAGGGAGGAGGAGGAGGAGGAAGACGAGGAGGCGGAGGAGGAGGAGGAGGAGGAGGAGGAGGAGGCGGAGGAGGAGGACGAGGAGGCGGAGGAGGAGGGAGGTAGGAGGAGAGGAGGAGGCGAGAGGAGGAGGAGGCGGAGGGGGGGATTAGTAGGAGAGGCGGAGGAGGAGAAGGAGAAGGAGAGAGGAGGAAGAGGAGGAGGAGAAGGAGGAGGGAGGAGGAGGAGGAGGAAGAAGCCCATTTGGCCTCACGCGGGCTCGCCGATCCCGGCCGATCCATCGGCACCGATCGCGCCTGCCGCCCGCTCGATCGCGGCGCAGGCCCCAGTCGGCTCGGCTGGCCCGCTTGGCCGGGCTCGCGTGCCGCGGCGCGCGCCATCCTCGCGGCGGGGGCCACCTGCGGCCCCCTCCTCCTCCTCCTCCTCCTCCTCCTCCTCCTCCTCCTCCTCCTCCTCCTCCTCCTCCTCCTCCTCCTCCTGAGGATCCAGGACGCTCGGATCGCCAACTGCTACGTGCACACCATTCTGCACAGCGCCCAGGAAGTGCCCGAGATGTCGCACCCAGGTCGCCATCGATTGCTGGGACCACCCCAACTGCAACTTGAGACGGAAGCCGCCAGAGCAGAGGACCAGCAAGAGGCAGCAGCAGCAGCAGCAGCACAGACTAAAGAGGGACGATATCCACCAAGAAGATCTGCCAATCCTGGAGGACCTGATGCCAATGTCGTTGGAAGAGGCAAGGAAGCATGCGGCCTGGCAGGAGCCCCCGGCGGACGCGGCTCAGAGGAAGCCGTACAAGGCCAAGCTGATGAAGCGCAGCAACACCGTCGCGGGGGTCATCCGGGCGCAGGGGGCGGCCGAGCTGGAACATCTAGATGAGACGGAGGAGCTCGCGATGCTGAAGGCCGCCCTCCTGGCCCTCAGGCCAAAACCATCACAGCTCAAGGAGCTCATGAGGGCAGCTGAGAAGATCGATGAGATCGCGAAGAAAAACGGCAGTATCAAGGATTGCGGCGTGCGGATCAAGCTCCTAGATGCAAGACGTATGTAGTCGACCGCCCAGATCGCCACGCTCAAGACCATCCAGGACGAGGAGGCTGCGGACGCGGACGATTCGGAGGAGGAGAAGGACATAGACGACGCCTCCAGCTTGGAGGACAAGTCCACGAGACCATGGCGATCCGACCGCTGCCATGGCCAACTGCATGCAGCACGTGGGTCCACATCCGAGGCCGAGGAGGAAGTTGCACTACATGGCGTGGCGCCGCGGGGCGCCCACATGGCCACAACGGGCCAGGACGCCAACACTGGACAACTGCTGCAAGTCACCAGGGCGATTGAGGAGCTGACGAAGCAGATGAAGGACCAAGGCACCAGCAGCGCAGGCGGAGCCGCATCCGCTCACCACCGTGGAAAAGCAAGCGCAGGACCAGATCAGGAGGGAGGAGATGCTCAATCAGCGAGAGAAGCAGCAGCTGCAGATCGACGCCAGCAACAGACACGAACATAGACGGCTAAATGAAGCAGTACAGCAGCATGCACGTCGCGCCGAGATGGCCGAGTACCACCTGAAGAAAATATCAAGCGATCACGAGAGATAGAGAGCAGACAAACCAGCACATCCTCCGCATGCAGAGCGACCTCGAGAGGGCAAGGGACGAGCTCAACACACGTAACCTCGTGCACCAGACCAACATTGAGCTCGCCAGTAAGGAGGAGCAACGGTCCATCGAAGCAGCCATCAAGCGGGCGGAGCACATCGCGAAGGCCAGGCCAAGAACGCTGCGGACCTGGCACAGTGCGAGGCGCAAGTGGCCACAACGACAAAGGAAGAGCTACATTGTTATTGGGCTGGCTTTTTTCACATGAAACACGAGGCCCAGGTACAAGCAGGGCATCAGAATCATTGTCAGCGCAGCTCTCTGCTGAACGAGCAGCAGGCCTTGGCTCAGCTCAAGATGGAGTGCAGCGCCCCGAAGGGCATCCTAACCACAAAGGGGGCCAACATCAAAAAGCAGAAGTGCGACATACAGACCGTGATGCCAGAGAAAAACCCAATCATCATATTTTTAGGGCTATAGGGCTATGGGGCTGTAGGGCTACAGGGCTGTATGGCTATAAGACTATGGGGCTATAGGGCGATAGAGCTATAGGGCTATGGGGCTATAGGGCTATAGGGCTATAGGGCTATGGGGCTATAGGGCTATAGGGCTATAGGGTTGTAGGGCTGTAGGGCTGTAGGGCTATAGGGCTATGGGACTATAGGGCTATTGGGCTGGAGGGCTATAGGGCTATAGGGCTATAGGGCTATAGGGCTATAGGGCTATAGGGCTATAGGGCTATGGGGCTATGGGGCTGTAAGGCTATAAGGCTATAGGGCTATAGGGCTATGGGGCTATAGGGCTGTAGGGCTGGAGGGCTGGAGGGCTACTAGGGCTATAAGGCTATAGGGCTGTAGGGGTATAGGGCTATAGGGCTGTTGGGCTGTAGGCCTATAGCGCTATCAGGCTATAGGGCTATAGGGCTACAAGTGTACCGGGCACCCGGGCACCCGGGCACCTGGGCACCCGGGCACCCAGGCACCCGGGCACCCGAGCACCCGGGCACCCAGGCGTGCCGCCGAAATCGGCGCCAAACCTCACCTAACCATATGAATCCGCTAGGACCCCTACAGAGGCAAGCTCTGATTGGGGAATGTAGGCGGCACTCAACGTTCGGCAGGAAGAAGCACTTGCAAAAGAAAAGGCAGTCCGCGAGGAGCTACAGGTACGCCAAGAATTACTTGCAGCACAGTCAGAGCGACAGCAAGACGTCCGCGAACACATGGACTCACATCAGCAGCACATCGACGAGATGCATGCGCAGCATCACGAGGAGCAGCAGTTCATGGAGCAGCAGCAGAAGGCCCTCGACGCCACCACCACGCCGCTGCGCGCCGAGTGGGACGAGGCCATGGCAAACCTCACGAGGCTCGAGGCGAAGGCCGGCTTGCACAGGACGCTGCAGGAGCCCCTGGGCCGCACAATAACCCCACCAGAGGCCTCACCAGCGCTGGCATGGGGCAGCACTCCCATCGCAGCAGGAGCGGACTCAGCAGAACAAGAAGCATCGGGCTTCCTACCAGGGGAGGTCGTCGAGCTCAGCCCAGAGCAGCGCAGTCAGAACCAGCAGCCTCGGCGCCGCCGCCACCTACAACGGCGCCACCGCCGCTCCCGCCATCGCCGCTGAACCCGCCCAGGGGTCTCGAGCCCGCGCCGCAGGAGCCGCCGCCAGCGCTGAGCGCGCCTCCCTCGGGGACGGCGCACATGCCACAAACCCAGGAGGACGTCAAGATGCAGGCAGCCTTTTTGGCGACAGGACCTAGCATCATGAAAACGCCAGAGCGAAGGACAAGGGGAGCCATCCTCAGCCCCGCGCTCCCACTTGACCCCGTGCAGCCATTCGCGAACGCGATGGGACCGCAGAGCTTCGCCATGACAAGCGAGGACGCTCCGCTAAGGCCCACGACAGGGTACACCTCTGCCAAGAGCCCGCCATATAAGAAGCAGGAGGGAAATGGCTGCAAACCACTACCCAAGGCCAAGAAGTGACAGATGGCACCGACAGCGACTTCGGCCAGTACCCAGCAGGCGGGCTAGCAGTGTCAGGCGACCCCTTTAGGCCGAGGCCCCCGCAAGGGGGGAAAGGCCTAACCCTTCCGCCTACATCACGGAGAAATAATTCTATACAGTCAAGGCCGACTCCAGCTCGGCCACGTCGAGAGTGCTGCACGAGAACAATATCACTTGGCGTCGGGACCTAACCCGGCAGCGGTGACAGTCCAGGTCTGGCGGTCCCTACGGGAGTTTCAAGATCAGCAGCAGCGTCAGTCGAGGGTGGGCGGCTGCTGCAGGATCCCCACAACGTCAGGGTCACCGCGGACGCCAGCGCCCACGAGAGCTGCGACGTCACATCCTTCTGGTACCACGCCGCTCGGGCATGTTTGCAGGTACCAACGGCTCTTGGGCACCAGCCTCTTGCCACACCATCTACTACGGCTACCAGCACAGGAGTCGGCTACATCGAGCTGCTCGCGCACAAGGAAGGGCCCGGCTACATCAGATCCTCAGCCACATTCTCACGCACATGGTTTGCTACCAGTCACGGGGCGCCCTGACGCTCTACAGGGCCAAGTGTCCCGCCACCCCGAGAGGAAGACCATCGAAGGTACCAGCCACGAGACAGGCGCCAGGCCCAGCACCTTCTGCAGCGAGCCTCCAGGGCGATTTGCGGATATGGAACCGACTGGGGAGATCACATCGCCAACCAGTACTGCAGTATCTCCGACTACTGCACCATACGGAGCGAGCGTCAGCATTGGACCAGCAGGCAGCTTCCGAGACAAGCTTGCTCATCAGGCAGACTGCCTGGGTTGGTCCAGAGCACTACCTGACTACAACCTCAAGGACTCTACCAGGGAGGCGCTGCAGACTGCGCCTACTGCTCTGTCAGGACAAACGCCACACTATCTCTACAAGGATGGCTCCTACATCGCTGTAGAGAAAGACCGAAGCTCGTGGGCTGTTGTGCACGACATCTCAGGTCATGAGGGCGAGCAATGCCACGACCATATCCACCACACTTGCCCATCGTCAATACCGGAGGAGCTGCAGGCGAAGCCCTCGTCCAGCGCAGTGGTGGAGCTTGCAGGCCTGGCCTACGCCATCATAGCCTGCCATGGCTATACCATACCACTAGCTGGTCGACGTCTATACCGACGCACAGATGGCCAAGGGCGTCGCGCTGGACCAGCACGACCTGGCCAAACATTACAAGCTGACGCGCTTGGCGGCTATTCCTTTTGAGGAGGTGAGTAGCACCAGGCCACTCTACATCAACCACGTTTTTGCACATCAAGAGCACCGCTGGACCAAAGCAGCCGATGTCCTCACTAAGGAAGCAGCCAAGCAACCACACCCTCGAGCACCACAGGCAGGCAGTGTGGATCAATTGATGTATGCCCAGCACATGGAGTGGTGGTGGTTACATCGTCTACCTCAGCAAGACAAGGAAGCATTCCCTAATTACGCGGGCGAGAAGCTCACTTGCAAGCAGCATCAAAATCACGCTAAATGTGAGCAGGTTACAATACCATGCCAGGAGGTCAAGCATCGCGGCAAGGTCAGCATGCGCATTGCCACCTTCAACGCCGAGTCCATGATTGACGGCACGATCAAACCAGCAGTTGGCTCCAGGGTGGCGGGCAAGGGCATGCTGGTCAGGAACCAGTTTCACAAGTCGGGAGTCGTCCTCTGCGGCATCCAGGAGGCGCGACTGCGAGCTGGTACCTGAACTACCGAACACTTCATGGCGCACAGCTCCGGAGCCGACAAACGCAACTGGGGCTGCGCCTTGCTTACCTCATCAGAAATGCCATAGGCGCATTCAGCAGCCGAGCAACCGCTATTCTTCAAGGCTAGTCACATTACCTTGGTGCATGGCGACCCCCGCATACTCGTCCTGAAGTTCAGAAGAAGAAGACGCCGTGTGTCCAGAAGGCACGTGAGAAAGAAATACTCTTACTCAGCCACATCCGCAGCCTCGAGATGAGGCAAGGCGGGCCGAAAACGAGGAGCGAGAGGGAGAGGAGGGAGGAGGCGCGGAGGGAGGGGACGAGGAACAGAGGGAGACGGGGAAGAAGGAGCCAGGGCGGCGGACTGGCGAGAGCCAGAAGCAGCGACGCATCAGCGGGACTGGCTGTGGCTCCGCGCTGCTCGCCGCCACGTGGTCGCCGGAACGGCGTCCTCAAGTTCAACGCGCCGCCCACGCTCCTTACCACAGGAGGGGCAGCGCAGCGGCTACCGCAGGCTGGGGTCCAGTGGTGGGAACACCTCTCGAACCATATGCGATCGCTGGCCCCCAAACATCACTTTTATCGACAAGCTGGACATCGGCGAGGCAGCCAAGGTCAGCTACGCGCGTTCGCTGGGCATGACCAGGCTATTGTTCAACGCGGAGATCTGGGTGAACCTCAACAGCAGCCAACTACGCCAGTTGCACGCCACAAAAATACAAGGACTGCGCTCAGCGGTCGACATGAACCTGGCACCAGACGCGCACACGCTGGATGATGAGGTCCTACTTTGCGCTGGACAGCACCATTATCTGTGCTACTACGGCAAAAGCGACTACGGCATTTGGTACGGGTATGCCACTACGCCAGCCGTCAGCTCAAATACCTACTGGACCTCATTTGGCTCGACCCAGCATCGTGGAGTAACGACATCGGTGCCGACATTCGGTGTTTACACGAGCATCGCATGGATACATAAAGACCTCAAGAATGTACAAAGAAGAGCTGGGTAAATCACCTTGCGCAGTTATCAGCACATCACGGGCATCTTCTCATCAACAGGGCCTGGGTGAGATACTCAGTATGACAAGCAAACCATTTCAGACACTGCATTTAGCAGAGGCAACGTGCGCGTTTGACACTGAAGGCACCATAATGTTATGATAAGGCAGTGGCCAAAGACAACTTTTGGGGATGTTAAGAATGTGGTGAAGTATCCCGCAGCAAGGCGGCTCGAAAGGCACACCGTACCAAGGACCACATCGGCATCGACAACGCTGAGAGGTATTGCAGCGGCACCGAGTGCCCAAGGTGCGCCAAGCAGTTTCATACCAGACCGCGGCTCCTGCAGCATCTCCGCTGCAAAAGGCCAGCATGCCTCAAGGTGGTCTGCATGGTCTTTAACCCACTGACACACAAGCAGGTCGAAGGAGCAAGGCAGGAGACGAGACAGCTGTCGGGCCAGCTCAGGACGAAGGGATACTACCAAAGGAAGGCAGTCAAGCCGGCGCACAGGTCGGAGGCCCCAGCATTGGCCACCATGGCGGGCTGGCAAGACGTCATGGGCGAGCTACAGCTGGACATGGCGGAGGACCACCTCGAGGCAGCTGCAAGCGATACAGACGCACGCCAGGAGGTGCTACCACAGGGAGCCTCCCCTTCCTTCTATTCAGGGGCTGCCTGCAGACGAGCACCGCCCACAGGCAGCCACTGCCTCTCAGGTCGACTCGCTGGAAGAACCCATGCAACCTACTTCAGTGGACGCGGTGCAGGCACCAAGATCTCCAGGGCCGCACTACATGCTGCACCTGTTCAGCGGCAGACTTCGACAAGGAGACTTACGCGGCGGTGCTCAGCCTGGACATCACTAACAACGCCGACACGGGCGACATGTCCAAGATCAGCACCATTGACTTCTGGGCGGCAGCCACTCAGGCAGGCAAGGTGATCTGCACTGTGGCGGGCCCCCGTGCGAAACGCGGAGCGCTGCCGGGAGGAAAAGGAGGTCTCCGAGGGGCTGCAGCCGAGGCCCCTGCGCACTCAGTAGTTGCCATGGGGCACTGCGGCCGCACCAGCACGAGAGCATAGGCAACTCGACCTCGGCACCGCACTCCACAGGACTACCGTCAGGATGGCGGCAACATGCCTGGCTTATGGCGTCAGCGCCATCGTGGAGCATCCTGCCCCGCCAACGTGGGAGCCCAGATGCCCACCATCATGGCACGTGCGCGAGACCCAGCGGCTCCTGAGCCACGGCGCAGCGCAGCTGATTTTCTGCTTGCCCCGTGCCAGTTCGGCTCCCAGGCCAAGAGGCCGACCGGCCTCGTGGCCATCCACCTCGATGAACTACATGGAGTGGACCTTGCCCCCAGACGGGGCCAGTGCCAGCATCAACTGCATTCGGTGCTGCGGGGTCGGGCCGCCACTGGAAGCTGGCAAACTGGACCTTGCCCCCAGACGGGGCCAGTGCCAGCATCAACTACATTCGGTGCTGCGGGGTCGGACCGTCACTGGAAGCTGGCATACCACAGAGCTGCAGGAGTACCCGGACGCTCTCTGCCGCCTACTGGCGGCAGCCATCTCCCAGCGCTGGCAGAGAGTCGCCTGGCGCCAGATTGGGACATCACCAACCATTTCGACGAGCCTGAGGTCAGGGACTTCTAGCAGGTCGCGCGTGCGTTTGGGGCGAAAAAAAATGATGGAGGGACAGAAAACACAAAAAAACGCTCCCTGACTATGTTTCAACTACTTTTGAACACTCCTCCTGTAGAGGGACGTGCCCGATTTGAGACTTCTGCGCACCACTGGACCCCCACATGGAGCACGGGGCCGGGCGCGACTGCGCGCTCCACGACCCGCCCGTGCTGGAGAGCCCTGGGGCGGCTGCGAGCCCCGGCTGAGGTGCAGCCCGACGGCCGCGGCCGGCCACCACACCCCCCCTGTCCCGGCGGCGAAGGAGAAGGAGGAGGAGGAGGAGGAGGAGGGGGAGGGGGAGGAGGAGGAGGAGGAGGAGGAGGAGGAGGAGGAGGAGGAGGGAGGAGGAGGAGAAGGGGCCTTCTCAGCAGGCTCGGAGGTCCCCCGGGCCTTCCGAGAAGGCTCCTGAGCCTCTCCCGAAGACGCTGGAGGCCTCCCAGAGGGCGCGAGGGCGTCTGAGAAATCCCGCCGCCTTCTGAGAAGGCCCTATCTCAAACGCGCAGAGAAAGCCTCTACCCTGGTTTACGACTCTCTGTGCGCTAAACCTCCTGTGGGCTGACAGGGTAAACCCTGCGAATCGCACGTGTCGCGCGGCGTCCTGGCGACCCTCTGGCTTGTGGGAGCTCCCAGAGGGTCCACAGACCACGCACTCGTGACCCAGGGTAGGGGCGTTTTTCGTCCCTCAGTTCTCCTTCTCACATCCCCCCCTCGCTCGCCGCCGAGCTTCCCCTCTTCGACTCAGTGCAGCACCGTCCTCTACCCTCTCCCCCCCGTGCCCGAGGCCGCCGTCGGCTCGTCGCCTCCCTGCTGCTGGTCGGCGTCGCCGCTGCCACCTCCTCGCGCCCGAGCCGCGCGCGGCCTGGGCGATGCCACGCTCGTCGAGCGCGGAAGGTAGAAAGGGAGGAGGAGGAGGAGGAGGAGGAGGAGGAGGAGGAAAAGGAGGAGGAGGAGGAGGAGGAGAGAGGAGGAGGAGGAGGAGGGGGAGGAAGGAGGAGGGAGGAGAGGAGGAGGAGGAGGAGGAGGAGGATGAGAGAGGAGGAGGGAGGAGGAGGAGGAGGAGGAGGAGGAGAGGAGAGGAGGAGGAGGAGAGAGGAGGAGGAGGAGTAGGACGAGGAGGAGGAGGAGGAGGAGGACGAGGAGGAGGAGGAGGACGAGGAGGAGAAGCACGAAGTCCTTGCTGGCGAAGATCATGCGGGAGTCGTGCCGGTTCCACGACCCCACCATGATCCGACAGTCCCCAACGAACGCGAGATGTACCGTCTGCTCCTCCAGCAGGAGGACGGACGCGGCCGCGCCGGACGCCTGGATGTTGATACCCTGCGCCTCGGCGAAGCTCACCAGCTCCGCCTGTGCGCTTGCGAACGCGTCCTTGAACGCCAACTCCCAGCTCTTCCCCCCGTTGCTGCTGGCCGCAATAAAATGAGGCAGGGTCTGCGACAGCCTGAAGGACACCAGGTGGCCGAAGGGGCCGTGCCCGTCGCAGACGCCGTAGAGCGTGATGGCCCCCTCGGTGCGCACGAAGCAGTTGTCCTGGTTTGGCGTAGGATCTGCCTGGCCATCCAGCATTTTCTGGCCCTTCTGGCATATCAAACTTACCTCTTAGCGGCCTCCAGGATGGGGTCAGAGTAGATGGGGTCGGAGGATCGCGCTGCATCGCCAATGCATCGCCAATGTATCGGCGATGCATCGGCGATGCATCGGCGACGTCGGCGATGCATCGGCGACGTCGGCGTGGTCGGCGATGCAGCGCGATCCTCCGACCCCATCTACGCGGACCCCATCCAGGAGGCCTAGACCTCTGTCGCCGACTTTAGCTTCGTCGAGCTCTGCCAGCTGTACAGCTTCTCGCCCTCGCCCAGGGGCGCAGTGGACGCCGAGCCTTGGAGAACGCAAACGATATTTGGCGGCGCTCAGAGGCAACGACGGCGACGACGACGACGACGACGACGACGACGGCGACGACGGCGACGACGGCGACGACGGCGACAACGACGACGACGGCGACGACGGCGACGACGGCGACGGCGGCGACGGCGACGACGACGAGGGTAGGGGGAGGGC